TTAAAACATAAGTAAAGATGTGGGGAGGGAAAAGAGCGGTAGGTGGGTAAGGCAAGAAGCTTGTTTTCAGTCCAGTGGTTGTCAACCATGTCATGTATATTCCTATTTGGCGGTCACTCTGTATGTGTCCAGTTGTCGTAGCTGACCCTTGACCTTCTCTCTCTTTGTGACCCTCAGACCCAGGTAAGGGCACCTCTGGTTGGTCGGGCCTACTTCTTTACTTTTCCTATTTTGTATCTGTCTGTCTGTCTGTCTGTCTTACTTTTTCCCAGCCCTAAATGACAATTATTGTGTTGATATGATTCTCTTTACTCAAACAAACAAACAAACAAACAAACAAACAAGACCCAGGTAAGTGTCTCCTTTGTCCTGTGGCTACAGGCAACTAAATGCCTGGGGGTTTCCCTCTCATCATCCCCTGACTCCCTCTATTTCTCTTTCTTTTTTTTTTTTTTTTTGGTCCCTCTTTATATTTTTTACCGGACACCTCAAGGGAAGTTTTTAAGTTATATTTTTCTTTATCATTTTACCTCATCTTCATTCTCCTGACCCTCCCCAAGGCAACAGGCAAAGGACTCTTGGAAGTATGTAATGTATGATAATTGATATATATGCCTGCGAAGTCATCTGACTGGGAAATGAATGAGATTTTTTTTTTTTTTGTATTTGACGTTTAGTTTCTCTTATCGTTTTACTCCTCACGTTTTTTAGTTTTGTGCTGCGGTTTTTGTTGGTCGATTATGAATACACTGGGGAGTTTTGCATGGGTTTATTTCTTGGTGAGGATGTGAGTTCAAATCGGATGTTACACTGTTCAGTTGAAGTACCCTGCAGAATAGACGTGTGTCATTTTTTGTTTTTTGCTTTTTGCAAAGATGATTAGTTACTATAGTGCGTGCGGTGACCCGTGCAAAAGTACAAACACATGTACAGGGTGTACAGTATATTTTATGTAAATGTATTTTTATTATGTAGGATATTATTTAGAATATATGTAATATGTGTATACTAGTGTGTGTGTGTGTGTATAATATGTTTGTGTACATATATGTGTATGTGTATATGTGTCACAATGCGATGGAATCGGGTGCTTGTCAATTTTGGAGCATTTGAAGTTTCTGGTATAATCTTAAAATTTGTTTATTTGTCTTGCTTTTGGGGGAAAAACTACCCACCAATCTTGAATAGAAGCTGAGATATTTGTGATTGAAGGAGGTAGGGGTCGCCTGAAGTCAGAACTAAAATAAGCGATTCAATGGCTGCCAAAGTTTGATGACATCCAAAGCTTTAGTGTACCTAGAAACTGCAAATTTACTTTTTTCTTGCCTTTTATCGTTTTCTGAAAAATCCACACAGACGTGTGTTCTTAAATCATAAAAGGTGTTGAGCCAAAGAAGAAACCTCCCGACGAGTGGAAAAAATGTCAGTTTCTTAGATTTCATTAATTTGACGAGCGCCTGATTTCATCATGATGCCACACGTGTATCTGTGTGTGAGGAAAAAGTGGATAAGTGGGAGAGAGAGGGAGAAGGAGACAGATATAATGTAGATAATTTGACGCAAATATGAACTTATTCAGTCTCTCAAATAGAATTCCACAAAACTACTCTTTGCCTGCAGCTTCTGTAGTTCATGTCCATTCATTTGTATCACTTGCCAGTCTAATTGTTGGCACTCAAAGCAGGATCATAAGTGCTGTAAAAGAGCCACCTACAAACTGAGACAACAACCTACTGTCTTACCGAACTCAAACTTTGAACACTTAATTGTAGCTCTGTTCCCTTTCCCAGCGTGCCGGCCTGCCAGCTCGTACCGTAAGATTCTCTATCTGTCATATCTTGAGTGATCGCCCCCACCACAATCGCTAGTGTAGCCCTACACAAAATGCTTTACAACATAAAATGACTCTGTACTTCTGCTTTTGTCTAGTATACCCGTGTGTCAGTACTAAACCATTGTAGTGCCAGTGTTCATTAAAGTTGTTGTGATCAGAAAGATAATGCTAATAATAATGATGATGGTTATGATGATGCAGTACTGTACAGCGTCCATCTATCTTGGCACTTTATTTTGTTCAAAAGTTAAACAAAATCACCCATTTCAGTGTACATGCAACATACTGCACATTTATCAGCTCCTGTTTAACTGTCTGTCCGTCTGTCTGTCTCTCTCTGTCTCTTTCTCTCTGCTTCTCTCTCTGTGTGTCCCTCTCTCTTTCTGTTTCTCCCTCTCCTTCCCACCCCCATCTTTCTCTTTCTATCCCTCCCTCTCTCTCTTTCTCTCCCCCCCCCTCTTTC